CCTGGGGAAGGCAGAGCAGGGGTGTCTGCTTCAAGGGGTGGATGATGCTCTGTGTGTCTCTCGCCGCTGTCATCTCAGCCACTCTCAGCCTTACGCTTGTAGAATGACCACAGTCCCTCCCGTCGGTATTGCACTTTAAAGTTTACACAGTTCTTTGACACATCGGATCTCATTTGAGTCTCGCATCCGCTCCAGGGGTAGGGAACACCCCTTCCATTCTGCAGATGAAGAGACTGAGAAGTGGCCTGAGGTCACAGGACTCTTGAGACACCACCTTTCATCTGATCTACACATTCTCTTTTTGTTTCTTTTCTCCATTTCCCACTACCCACAGTGTCCATAAACACTGTTCTTCTCAGAAAAGTCACAGTTTGGGGTGAGATCTGGCCCGGGAATCAAGAAATGGGTGTCCATCCTTCTCTCTCGCTGGCTAGGATCTACTAGACACATTGTGCTCCACACCTGCTTTGCCCATGGCCACCGCGGAACATCCACCCACAGAGGTCAGGGTTCCCTCCAGGCACCCTGGGCAGGGAAGGCCCTCCGACCCCTGGGGTTTTCCTCCATGACCTTTCCACCCTCTGGGCCAGCTGAAGCAGGGTCTCCTCTCCCCCAGCCCCCTGCAGCTAGACAGTGTTAGCTCTCATCTCCTCCTCCCCACACTTCTTGAGCTTTTTTTTCTCCCCCATTGACCTTTGTGGTCTTTCTGTGATTATTTATGCTGCCTCCCAAGGATAGAATTGAAATAAAATGTTTTCAACTTATCAACCCGGGCATGGCCATGTCACTGCACCCCGGGCGCTTCCCGCTCTTGGTTACCACGGTTTCTTGATGGCCAACTCCCCAGCCCAGCGCCTTTGCCCTTCTGGAACAGCAGACCACATCTGTATCTGCAGATGTAATTTCACACTCTCATTCACCTCCGAAGGCTTCTGACTCTCAGCACTATTGACATTTGGAGCCAGATGATGCTTTACTGTGAGGGCTGTCCTGTGCACTGTAAGATGTTCAGCAGCATCGCCGGCCTCCACCAATCAGATGCCACAGCAACCCCTGTCCGATTGTGATAAACAGAAATGTCTTCAGATATCTCCCAGTATCCCCTACGGCAGTGATGGCGAACCTACGACACGCGAACTCATTTTTTTGGTTGATTTTTCTTTGTTAAATGGCATTTAAATATATAAAATAAATATCAAAAAATTAAGTCTTTGTTTTACTATGGTTGCAAATATCACAAAATTTCTATATGTGACATGGCACCAGAGTTAAGTTAGGGTTTTTCAAAATGCTGACACTCTGACCTCAAAAGGTTCGCCATCACTGCCCTAGGGTGTCAAAATAGCCCCCACTGTTCTACAATTAGTCAGCAGGCATCTGCTCTGTACCAGCCCTGTGTTGAGATCTGGGGGACACCAATATTTCACACTGGAATGATATTTCGATTCACAAAGCACTATCGCATGTACTTGACTGTTGATCTTCATTCACAGCAGCTCTAGGTATATTCTAATATTGTCCCCATTTTCAAGAAAGCAGTCAGGTTCAGAATGGTGGCATGCTCAAGGTCACTCAGCTGGTGTAGTGGGGAAGACATACAGGGATGTGGCTCTTAGGAGCCAGAGCCTGAGAAGGCACGTGCTCCCAGCCTCCAGCCAGTCTTAGTGCTGGGCCAAGTCTGTCCTGGGGGGAGGGCTGGGGCCCATCATAGACAAGGGACGCTGAGCAGCCACTGGGACACCCTCATCTCTCGCCAAGCCAGGGCTGTCATGGAGCAGAGTTGTCAGGCTGCAAAGTGGACAGGCACGTAGCAGCGTGGACACCACAGAAAACTCAGAAGAGCCAGAGGAAAGCAACGAAAGCCTTAGAAGAGCGGGCTGGAGAGGAAATGAATAAAGAGCTGCCGAGGAGCAGTGGGCAAGACACCGGAAACTGGGGAGGGGCTGCCCGAGGCCCAGCTCTGCCTCTAACCGGGGTGTGTGACATTGAGTCATTCACTTCTCTCTGGCCTCACTTTCGCCATCTCTAAAATGAGGGGATAAGACAGCGTTAGGGTCCCTTCCTGGTCTAACACTTAAGTGTCTGTTATACCAGCAGTTAGGAGAATGGGACAAATCCCCCAGACCAC